TATATATATATATATATATATAAATCGACAACATGAACCCTTGGCTGGCCCATATCTTACTAGTATACTAGTAGGAGGGGGGAGTTAATCGTGTAACGAACACAGACTGTGCGGATTCCGCCAGCAGGGTGCCAGCAGGGTTGCCAGATTGGGGAAGTTCGTCCCCAAACTGGGGACTTTTTTATTGTGGGGAAATGGGGAACATAAATTGACGGGAAATGTTTGAGGATTTGAGGGGAAATTATTTTCATTCGGAGTCGAGATAGAAATATTATTCTTTCAATTGTTATATTCAAATATTATTCTTTCAAATATTGTTTCTTTCAATAAAAAAGAAATAATAGACGTTATTCTGTCAATTTTTTATGTATAAAAAAGGATTTGAATGGACAGAGAAAGAAAAATGAAAATGGTATACGGCTTCGAGCAGCTGAGAAGGTTGATTTGAATTCAGTATTGGGGAAAGAGCTCGAAACACATCTGGCAACCCTGGGTGTCAGCGATTTCTTCGGTGTTGCCGCCTCTTTGAGAGGACTGATGCGCCAATGACCAATGGTCAGATCAAGCGATTGAAAACATATCTTAACAGAACATCAAAGATAATTTAGTTCTTTATGCCATCTATTCTTGAGTGTTAGGTCTTAGTCTTTTTTTCAAATAGTATTGTTCATCTAATTTTGAGTTACAGTACATCGTGACATGTTATAATCATTGAAACGAAATCATTATAGCACATTAATTGCACTGAGTAACAAAAGAATCCCTAGCATAGAAGAGCGAGCGAATCCTCCCATGTGAATGAAGCATTGGAGTTCAAATCCGAACTTTTTTTTTCATTTAAAAGCTAGAATTAAAATAAAATTAAACAGTGTGTTTCTTTGAACCTACACCATTTTGTATGGTGGATGATGACTGGAGTGTTAACAACACATAAGTTGCAACATGTCTAATAATATTAGGTAATCATTAGCAATAATATAAAAAATATACTGATGTAGCTCCACTCATTTTTTTATTATTTTTTTTATTACAAAAAATATTAATATAAATACTTGCCTGGCTGAATGTTTTTTGTGTTTTTAGGCCTGATAGTGCTGCTATAGGTGATGTTCTAGTGCTTACTAAACCATTAGGTACGCAAATTGCAGTAACTGCACATCAATGGTTGCAACAACCTGACCATTGGAATAGAATAAAGGGGGTTATATCAGAGGATGATGTGCGAAAAGCTTACCAGAGAGCAATGAACTCCATGACTCGGCTAAATATTACAGGTAAAATTTAAGCCAAATTAGTTTAATAAAATGCTATATTTAGAGCAAACTAGTTCTGCTCAAGTTTGGAATTATACATAACTTTTCATTTTTAAGGAAAAAACAAAAAAGTTACTCTCTACCTTATAATGTGCATTTTTTAGTAATTCTATTAACAGATTCTTGCATGTATTAATGGATGCATATTACTTTTTCTAGATACTCAGATTTCCTTAACGGGCCAGCGCATCAGGTTGAAAATATAAACCTCATTCTGAGCATTGTGAATTTCTTTAATATATTTGTACTTCCATGTCTTAAGAGAAGTCACATTATTAATTAAGTGCGTTTGTGAATGGTGATTACCAATAAAATCTTAAGTCTCATTTTTGCCAAGATATTTTATTCTTATGAGAATCTTTTTCCTGATTCCTGTTAACTTTAGCATTGTTGTGCAGTTTTATTTCATCACACAATTAAATATGTATCCTCACTATCTTAATTATTTGAATATTACAGAATTTTAAGCAAAATTACTTTTCAAATACTGCTAGAATATGACAAGTATCATCTGATGAATGTTCATTTCTGATTAGCCACTGCCTTAAGGCCCTCTTATTCCTACATTCTGTGGTACAAAGTTGTAAGATACAATATGTAAATAATTCATTATCATCACAAACAAATATGGCCAAAAATAGCATGTATTATTAGTATCCTTTCATTTGCAAGGTTGTAGCTGGGAATACACAAGTTAAATTTGTTGGGGGTGTCATTAAGAATGTTGCTTTATGCTGAGTTATATGATTTAACATTGTATTTGCTGTTGATTATGTTTAATACATTAAATTTATTTTCAGCTGCCAGCTTGATACACAAGCATAATGCACATTGTTTGACTGACCTAAATGGGTTTGGATTGCTGGACCATGCTCAGAATTTGGCTAGATATCAAAAGAATGAAGTTTCATTTATAATTTATAATCTACCTGTAATTGCAAAGATGGCAGCTGTTGCTAAAGCATGCGGAAATATGTTCCAACTACTTCAAGGTCATTCACCTGAAATTTGTGGTAAGAATGATTACATCATGTCTTCTATTTAAGCATTACAAACAAACCACCTTTTTCCTTGACCTTTTTTGTGGAGTGAGGGAGAGGGGAGAAACAAATATTTTCCTAATTCTTCAGACCAATGTTAGTCTCTTTATGCCATCCACCCTGACCAAGGACCCCTTTTTTATAATTAAAAATACATCTTCTCCCTCTAAGGCAATTATTTCTGACACTCTCAAAAACATTAATTTGTAACTTTTAACATAGAATTTCTTATACACTTTATGATTTCACTTCGAACAGTGGGTTTAGTAATGTGGTGTACATAAGTAACTACTGTGGCAAATAACGTTTTGGGTTTGGTCTGATAGAGTAGCAGTGAGGTGGAGTGTGATAAAACAAGTTTCCCTTCTGTATCACGTTACCAGTTTTCTAACTATAAATTTGTTTAATCCAAATCCAGTTTATCCCCATATTAAAATGTGACATTGTAATTCCATCACTAAATGACATTCCTCTGATGGTTGTTGAATACATTGATAAGACAATAAGACAGTATTAAGAGGTTATTTTCTAAAGCAAGATTCTTTTTCAATTAATTTCACAAATTTTCCATGAGTGTCAAAGAAAATTGTTTTCAATATTTGTTATAATTTCAAAATTTTGTTCTAAGGCATTATTCATTCAAGGTGATAAGGAGGTAATGAGGGGTTATTTATTCAATTCATTAATTTGCATGTGTAAATGGCATTTGAAGGTAATACATTATGATTGAAGTGTGATAACAATGTCACATATATTTAGAACCAACTCTTTTTCATTAATGTGTATAAAAAATGTTACAATTATGCTGCTGTATTTAATGTAAAATTATTGTTAAAATTTACATCATAATGGTTGTTATTTTGCATAACTGCAATTTTTGAAAAGCAATTTCTATTGTAGGTGGATTACTGATTTGTTTGCCACGAGAAAGGGCGCATGCCTACTGCAAAGATATTCAAAAACAAGAAGGGTATCAAGCCTGGATTATTGGTATTGTGGAAAAAGGAAATCGCACTGCACGTATGATAGATAAACCACGTGTTATTGAAGTTCCAGAGAAGGAAAAAGATGGAGAATTATGGTAGAAAATTGGGGCTTAATCATCAGATTATGTGATGTTTCATTGATTTTTAGCTGAGGAATAACTTTTATAAAGTTGATCTCTGAAATTAACTTCCACAATAGAAACTAAAACTTCAACCAAAACTTACCTACATTGAAAAATTGGAGATAACTGATGTATGTTCTTTCCCCTATTATTTGAATGTGTGTATGTATTTCATTTATTCTCTAGCAATAATAAATTCTTGTGATTCCATGAAATAAACTAATAGGTAAAGATTGCTAAACGATTTGCCTTAGAGACTTGAAAAATATTCAAAACTTGTTTTCCTGAATGTTGAGTAGAGAAAAGTTCAATATATTTTGTGTATTATCACAAAGGTATATACATTTATTTTTCAGAATTTGTTAAATGTTGATTTAGGTACATCTTGGGTAAACCATGAAATAATAATTCTTTGTTTTAATAAAAAAAAAAGCATGAAAATATTTTCTTTAAATCTTGTATAAATTATAGAATTTTAAAGTTTCAAATTTTGTTCAAGATGAAGAAACTGGCATAGGATTGACTGATGCAATGGTGACAGGCTGCCCAAAGAAAGTGTCCATAGGTTTCCAGACCTTGTAAAGATATGGTATTTTATTAACCTTCACTAATGCTACACATTTGGTTTGAGTTGATGAGTGTGCTAGTCATCTTTTGAACGAATGACACTTCAATTCAAATGAGAATAGACTTGAAAAATACACACTGCGTTATTGCTGCAGGAATTTTCATTTCCATAATCAGTATGTGCTTGTAGGTAACCTTTCATTGGTCACGGTCAGTGGCTCTATGTGGTACCTACAATATCAATTCTATCCTCATTTTTATTGAACAGTATTTCTTGAATTTTAAGACGTGAATGTGAATTGTATATTGTATTGGTCGTGTTGCTCATCTGTGATAATAGTGTGTGTTACTTGGGCAATTGCTATATATGACCTCTAGGCTTCCTGGTTTAATTGAAAAGATTTATATGTCAGTATGTTGCAATTGAGAGAAATATTCAAAGTTGTGGAAATACCTGTTCAAAATGTAATAGTTGATGCTCATTTATGAAGGATCATTGACTCATGTTGAAATCATTTATTACTCTGTTAATTTAGCTCAACTTAATGTTGTGGTTTTTTGAAGCGTATGATTCAAGACAATGAAATTTGTATTAACAAATCTTGTTTTGAGAAAGTTAGAATTGAGATCACATCAATAACTAATTGGCTTAAAATAACAGATTAATTGTGAGTAGCTTATCTATCTGAAACAAACTACTTTAATTCATGCTTCCTCTTGTGCATTAATGAGACAAATGGTGTTATTGTAAGTCCAAGTGCACATGTTGGAAATGCATGTCCAAATTACTGTACCATCTATTATATGTATGTCTTCCAATTTTGAAATATACAGTAAATATTAACTAAGTAATTTAATTATTTTCTTCCTCTTTCCTACTTTTTTTTACAATTTCTGACACATTGTTTTGAACGATTCTTTAATTTTTTAGTTTATTGTGAGTGAAACCATGCAGATGATTCTAAGGAATTACTTGTCAACTTCTTTACAATACTTGCCCTCTTATCTCTAACTAGAGTGATGGGTTGATTGTGATAATCCTTAGCAATGGGACTTACTTCATTTAAAATGAATAATGAAATTAATCATAATGAGTTTTTACTTCAAATTTGTATGGTATTAACTGTTTGTGTACATTTTCCACAATGAGTGCAGATTGCTTCATTTAAATTAATAAGATAATAATAATTATTACATATTATGTGAGCAATATATTATGAAAATTTGGAATAGGACATATGGAGTCTTTAGGGTAAAGAACAAAGGTGTCCTTCATGAGAGTAACTGGAAAACTGCTAAAATATTCCTGAAGAATTTTCAAATTCGTTGATTAATTCTTTATCATAATTATGATACCGTACTTTCATGTCGTATGGCATCACTTATCAGAAAATTATGTATGATATATCTCTATTGAATATTTGTTAAAAAAATTCATCATAATATATACGTAGGTAGTTAGGTTTCCAAGCCTGTTCCTTTCTTGCTTTGTAGTAGGTGCTTTAGTCTATTAAGTGATACTGCTTCTCCCATTTCATTTTGAATCTAGCTGTATTTCTTCTTCCTTACTTGATGAAGTCGGGTAGAACATTTATATTTTATTAATTTATTTTCCCGCAAGATTTTCCTGCATTTTAGGCCAATTTGTGTTTCAAGGGGCAGCTTGAATTGTTAACACTTAATCTTCATTTCTTTTTCACTTGTTGGAACTGCATACAGATTCCTTCTTATCTCAGTAGCGTTTCGTGCTTAGCTTGCATGGTTGCACAACCTTCAGATAATTGAAAAAGATTCTATAACATCCCAAAGGAATATACATTAATATTCAAGATATTGCAGCAATGTGGGTGTATTGTGAAATCATTTTGAAACCAAAGAGCGTCCAAATGGCACAATCTCCCGCGTCTGATGACTCACAGGCATTGCACGACGGTCTTAACTCTGTTACTGAGTACTCCAATTACTGAGTTTACACCATTTTTGGCCATTTGCTTTAACACGGGAGAACATACGGCGTGTGGTGACGCAACCAAATGGGTGGGGGGTGGGGGTTTTGTCGCCGAGCGCAATGGAACGCTACGCGGCGACCAAGGCAGTTCTTGGGGAATACCAATATTCTGTCTTCGTCTGACTCAAATTGCAACTTACATTTTTGAATTTCGCGTGTTTTTGAAAGTAAATAAGTTCAATCAATTATTGATTGTATGTAGTGCATTGTTTATGTTATTTGGAAAATTTGTTTTCATTTCATATTAGATTTTATGATGGAAAACGTACATTTGATGAGTTGTTTGTATAACGTTGGCCGTTCTGGATGTAAGTCCCTTTACGTCTCTCGGATGAAAGTCTGCCAACAGCTGTCCAGCTGTTTCTTAGCGTTCTTGTGAATACGAATGTGTGTAGAAGATCTTTCATTATTGCAAAATATACCAGCGTAGTGAAGTTTTCCAAATAAAATAATTTGGTTGAACACGTTTTATTCAAATAAAAAGTGTTGTACAACACTGGAAATCAATGTCAGACCTACGCTCGCGGGAGGTGAATAGGTGAAGGTCGGGTAATATTGGACAGAGGGTGAAATTGGACAAAGGTACTTTAGGGCAGTGAGCACTGGTGATCGCACGTGCCACACTGTCAGTGTGTTCCTGTAAACGGATTAGCTTTGCAAACACCATATTGTGTGAAACATCAATTTGGTTACTGCGACACGTGTTGCGTTTTTTTTGTAGGTTGCCCATTGTACGAAGATAATTGTTGAGTCTGCGAAATACTCGTAGAAATAGTTGGGAGAGCAATTAGTAGCAGCTGTAACGAAACATCGCCTCTTCCATCAGTAGTTTTTATTAGACAAGAGTGTTCAGGAAAAGAGACGACTCACAATTGACAAATATTGTTACTTGGACAAAGAATTAACGAGTATTGAAGAGATTGTCATCCAAGTGCCTGGCATACCCTGAATTGAACCTTGAAAGCGTCCAACACGTTTTTACTACGCTTCCTGCACCTCGCCTCCGACGACAATCCGAGCTGGCGTCTAAGGTAGAAATCGGTGAGTTCCCCGTATTTTGATAATGGTAATTTTACGCAGGCTGCTCTGAAGCTGATGCGATCTTTCGGTGACGCTCCGAACTAACAGGAAGCAGTTAACAATCTACGTCAAGGAACGTTGTACGAAAGAAGTATTTGGTCAACAGGGAAGAAATTCGCGGGGCTTTTTTTATTAAATAAGTCTATCTTTAAGCGCGAAGTTTGACATGTGTAATCCTTTCCTCTTCAACGCTTTTAAAGAACATCAAAAGTGCCCTATTAATAATAAGGCGCCAATTTTGAAGTAGCTTAGCGGTCAATACCAACAATAACTTTGAAGCTTTTTAACTTCTCTTAGGGTAAGTTTATACATCTCGTATTGTAACTAGTCTGTTTACCAAGGTGTATTTGTTACATTACAGTAGTACAAGGTCGTTTGTTCAATTGAAGGCTGTATCGTATTCTTCTTAAGGTTGATGGTCGTTTGGATGATATCGAACAAAGTAGCATAGGATGGATGGTACAGGACAGTTACTTCATCTTCTCATCATTTTTCCCTATTTCTTGCGTGAAATTTGTTAGGAGCTAATATTCGAATTCCAATGTGGATTTTGCCCGTGTTTCAGGAAACAATGGGTAAAATTCGCGAGAAATGGGAGGAAATAATATAAAGGTAGTCATTATGATGCGTTTTAAAAGAAATGTCAATAAGAGGCTAGTGCTAAATATTCTGTACTCAAGAGCACACTAGGCGATCGGGTATAAAAACTTGCAAAATGAGGAAAGATAACAAGCCTAATACTCCATTAAAATTATTTTACCACTAATTCTACAATTACCCGATAACCTACTCCACTTTTCAGACATGTAAATAGTCAACGATTTTTACTATCCCCAAATTGACATATTGTTTTACTTTCGAACCAAATAGCTTTGATAGAGTGTATGAGTAAGAGATTGAAGTTTCATATTCTGTATTTAACGAAAAATTTTAACTAACCTTAATTAAGAAGTTATATTTAAAGCTAAGGTGGCCGATACCACCCGACGTCCCCCTATACCTAAAACGTACACTACGCATAAAAATACATAAGTAATATTTCAATACAGATTTTTATTCATCATAATTTTAATTGATTTCCATGAATTGCTTACATTTTATTTTCTATTAGTGTTCTGAATTTTGAAAATTACATTCCCGCCATTCGATGGCGGATTCGATTTTTTTGTTTTTGCCAATCTATGAATTAAAAAAAAGCTCAACTATAATTTTTTTTCGAATGTTGGCCAGGTTTTAGGCATTTTATCCCAATATACACTGTCTCGCCTTCCGTGTGCGCCGCTGTCTCCAAACGAACAAGGTCGGCGGTCATTCTATGCCTCCAAAGGTCCTTTTGCGTAGCCCTCTTCACACGCAGCTTCGGATCTTCTCTCTTCTGCCCCAGCCGGTCGTCCTCTTCCTCGGATTCCTTCCACCAGATCTTCTTTAGATTTAAACTCGTTCAATACGCTTTTGCTCACGATTTTGGCGTTCCTGATTTGAACTTGTCACAGTTCGTGCGCTTTATGAAACAGAATAGTTCGTTAACTGGAGTGGCCTCTCTCGTTTTCCTAATACGTTTCTGCTGCAAATGTCCGCCTAATATATCTGCGAGCGCTATATTGAAATGTTCTACCACGCAATACTTTACTCGTTTTCGTTCTGTTCTTCGTAACTTCATGAAACCATAAAACGTTCACTAAATTCACCATACAATGCAAATTAAAATTCCTTTCACCAACATATCATTTTCTCGCAGCCTACTCATTTACAGGTTTTAAAATAAACCCTACGTAATTGTAACGCTAGGTATAAGAAACACTCGTCGAAAGTTTGCTACATTTTAACTACGTATAAGTGCAATGCCTACTCTCCAGTCTAACACCGGGAGAGGTGGCTCAATGCATCAACTGATGTCAGTGCAGTGCCTCTGATAGGGGGGTTCCTAGGCTCGAGTCCCGTCAATCGCATGATTTTCGACACCCACCCAGCTAGGTCGAATTCAGTCGCTGTATGGAGGAGAATTCTAGAGGCCGGCTGCTCTGATCGGTAGTTTTCCGTGGTTTCTCCGATCATCACCAGGCGAATGCCGGAGCCAGGCCCTTACAAACGGGGCAAGCGAGGGATCTTTCCTTCCTCTTCCTTATCATATCCTCACCCTTTATACACACTTACACTAACATGCACTACACTATCACACATGCCGAGAGATCGGTCGGGAGGTGCCCCTCAAGTCGGAGATACCTGGTTGAGGGTAAACCCCGCTAGTAGACGGTAGGTCGACGCCGGATGTCACCATCCAACTGGGCCTTAGTGTAGCCTGCCGAATCGAGGGAAGGTAATATGTCAATAGCTATGCAGAGGGTTCAGAAGCTCCCGTTACAAAAGCATACTCCATATTTTATGTTGACATTCATGAAGAATGGCAGATCCCTCCAAAAAAGTTGTCTTCAAGAAAATTGAGTTTAAATATTACTTCCGTGCAAAATTCAAATCGGCTGCCGCGTCCCAGCAGACACTCAGAGCTGCGTCTGTCGAAGGAACTGGGCGTAGCGACGTGAAACTATCGAGTGAGACAAACATTGCTAGTTGTTGCGCGCTTGGGTTCCAAAATATAATAAAATTTTATGTGTAATTAATGTATTCATTTAATTCATTAAATCTACTCAAATCCACTTTTGTCGTATGTTATAACGACGATATGCAGCGACGTAACGATGAACGCTGAACACGAAACCTTATGTAAATTAAGAAAATTCCTGGAATGCTCGAATTATTTTCTGCGTATCTTCAGTGAGCAAATGTTCTGTGCTCTAGAGATACGATAAATGATAGTCGTAGGGCTTTTTTTCTTAATATCATGACAGTTTTGCTAAGAGTTTTGCAGCTAAAATTTAAAAAATTGAGTTCATTTATTATTTCTGGGCGCGCAGTTTGATCTGATGCTTTCGCCAGTCATTTTGTGTAGCAACAGACCAACAATTGCATTGGTGAATATTTTCAGTACACATTTGGGTGCACAGACAGTCAAGCAGTCCTACGCGGTGTCCGTGATTAACAGTGACAAAATGACATCTGCCCTAAATGACGACTAACAAAATAGTTTAATAATATGGTGCAATATTGGTGCAGAAGTGTAAAAAATTGGGGGGGGGATATTTTTCATGCACATTAGTCTCGCTTGATCGCGTCGAGGCTTATATCGTGGGGTAGACAGAATTTGAACCTGCCACCGTCGCACACTAATCAATTAAAAACGTGTCATTGAAGACATGCATTTAATGTACGAAGCTGCTACCCACAACGCAAGAGAAGCAGCCAGACAAACAAATTTTCCCAACCCCCCACGTAAAAACTGGTCTTCATGAATATCAACATCGAATCTGGGGTATATTTTTGCAACGCGAACTTCTGGACATTCTGTATATTAGGAGAAACACCGGTCGAAGGATTTATCTTACTGTTTGCGTGAGTTAACACGCAAAGATTACAACGAAAACGCGTCACTGGGGGAGATTGTGCAATAACATCTATTTATTTCGCATTTTCCAGCCATGGGGACATTTACATCAGAAAACTTGGTGAAATATCCTACAAAATGTGACCGAAAGAGACAACGAGGAAAGTCTTGGAACAAATTAAGGAAAAGATAATTACAATTAAAGAAGCAGCGAGAAGTTAGGGTTATTAAATATGTCTGTGTTTTCATGTTTTTCTATAAATTGATATCAATTGTATGACAGAAGCTCTTCAAATTTGATTGCTGGTTTTCGAGTCTGTGGAATATGCCCACTGAACCGAGTTGTTTTTCCCAGAAAGTTCTACGATATTGCGATGAAACATCTGAACATATACAGAATGTTAGTGCGGCTTTCATTCTGCGATTTGAATGCTTTGACTTCTGTTAAGGCTAAGGCTAACGTTAAGACAAGGGATTCAAATCGAAACAAGGAATATTCATGAGATCCCGTATAAAGTGTCGAAGGCTTGGATTCACTTGAGATTACGAGTGTGTTCCTCGTATCCTGCAAAATTACTGGTATACTATATCAGTTTGGAAGATGATTACACGACTGTATCTCTTCAAGCTGGGGTTGGTGATCATATAATTGTTGAGTAAATGATCGCTTTCCCAAGGCAAAGTGTTCTCAAATTTTATCAAATGAGGCAATGCCGCAATGCAAACTACGGGAAAGCATTGGTTATGGCCTAAGGAACCACATGGAACTTGGTATTCCAGAAAATAAGCAAAGAATAAGTATCCTCCACCTAAAACAGTTCAAATATATAAGATGATTCTATAGATATGAAATCAATTCTGAAATGGTGTTAATAAATGTGGATAGGAAGTAATTGATTTCAACTTTATGTGTATTACCTTAAATCCTAGAAGGTTAAAGTTATTCCGTGATGGGTCAAAAATTTACCACATTTAATTTTCTATCGATTAAAGGCTAAAATATTTCATGTCATGCATAAACATCTATATCTACCATCTCACCAAAATTAAAAAGCATTTACGTGCAGAAATTGAAACATGACGTTACAAGTAAAGATAAATAAAAAAAAATCGAGGTACTATCTAAATAATTATGGATTCCAAACTTCAAAAATTTTAAATGTGACTCGTCTGACGGTACATTTTAAAGATTTTATTCTTCTTTTACAATGTTTTATCGCGATATTTCATAAAATCATATTTTCCCCATCTTCAGGCTACAAAGAATATAAAAGGAAAAGTTTAGTGAACATTGAACAAAAAGACATGTTACTGACGCTAAAATATACAATTATAATAAAATAGTAGAACTAGATAGCTCCGATGTGAATAAACTGTGACATACACTTTCATGTTTGTAATATTTAAGATGGTTAGAGCGAGATATTCCCCTAGTAGATAGTCAATATTACATTCGAAATTATTTATTTGCGAGATAAGTGGTATCCTATTAAGAGCACGTTCCTCCTTCTTGAGTAGGTAATTATTAATACTTATTTAATGAAGTGATAGGATGATGATGAGGAGTGAAAGGACGATCACAAATACATCCATGCCCGAGGCGGAATTCGAAACAGCGATCCTTCGATCAATTTGTTACAAACATATTAAGTCTTTTAAAAAATTATACCATACAAATATAAACTAATTCATTATATATCACTGTTTGTTAAAATAAACATTATTTTTCTTTTTGATAATCAGGATAGTCTCTAATTGAATAGAAACAGTTATGCAGCAGAAAAGATTTTACTTTTAACTTAAATTTGTGAACCGACTTCAATTGTTTAATGTCATCTGGCAGTGCGTTGTGAAGTAACGTACATGTATTGTATGTGGATTTCCGATAGTGAGCTGTTGATACTGACAGTTGATGAACGTGATTTTTACAACGTGTGTTGTAATTATAAATATCAGTATTGCATGAAAATGTGTTCCCACCGTTAACTAAGTCACTTTTGACAGATATTACAGATTCGTAAATGTATAGGCAAGGGGTAAGATCAATGAAGAGAGGCTTACAAGGGTAACACGTAGGGTTAACACGTAGATTTAGAATACACGTTTTGGGGGTCCTTGATACCGAAAAATGTGTTTACGGCAAAACGACTGTCTGTCCGTCCGTCTGTGGTGAATGCCAGCACCTAAATAATTCAGATGATTTTCTCGAAAATTGACATTATCTGATCGATATGACTGAATTCGAGTAGACGTCCTGTGATTTTGAAACGAATATTTTGATTTTGGATGTTCTTTCAGTAAACCTTATTATTTTTCATTGTAGAATCACGACCGTTGATGAATAATAAAATAAAATTGATTCGCAAGATTGGTCATTGTGGGTAGAGAAACAATTAATTGTGTCAACGTTTCGAAATATTTAATTTCTTTATCAGGTTTCTTCATATTTTTGTTTTTGTTTGTGTAATGTTAATTAATAAATTTATTGAAATATTTGTTGTCCTCATGCACCGTTCATTTTTTATACTCTAGCCCTGACCTACTCTTTAAAACAAAGAAAAGAAAAAGCTTGAACTTATTTCTTTAATTTTTTCTCGAATGGAGCAATGAATGTTTTATGAAAAAGGCACATATCCCATTTTCAATTAGCACTCTGTTGTTTTTTAAAATTTCCCCCGCAAAAAAAACTTTGCAAAATTACCAAATTAATAAAAAATGCCTAATGAAATCTGTTGAAAACTAGATATTTAATTAATGTCTTGTTCAAATTTAAAAAAATATGCAATTGGTAATTTTTGCTTAAAGTAAATGTAATTTATAAAAAAAAATTCTCAAATACAGTTTTTCAATTTTTTCGTACATTTTTCTCTCGAGTACATCAAAGTACATTATAAAACTGACAGTTTCAATTGTTTCAACTTCAAAAATTTTCGAAAATTGCGAACGTTACAAATATTGCGAGAAAGTATGTGATGTTATAGCACTGCTAGTTTCATACGCTATTGATAAGCCTGGCTGTCTCATTCAAGTTTTTCTACCGGCTGTTTATTTTATCTTTCGCCGAAGATGATAGCGATGAGCGCCGCTTGCCTCAGCGATCGAGCCCTTGGTTCCCCGGGAACTTGTCAACAGGGACCCCGTTCATCTGGCGCTTTCGTCGTTTGGCGCGACCAGCAGATACACTAGTGTCCCGAGAGCGTTAAAATGTGCATCATGAAATTTTGCCGCAAGAGATTTATTAATAAATTTCCAGGCATGAATATTCCACATCGGTCGACAATTTTGACCGAAGAGAAAGTGAAAGAAATCTCTGCCAGGTTACAAAAATCTCCAAGAAAATCTTTGAGGCGTCTATGGTTACTTTCAGCAGGATTTGGCAATTGCTCGATCCATGAATTTTTTTAAAATAATGTTTAGAGTCACGATCGAATAATTAGTCGTAGATTATAGCCTCCTAGATCACCTAATCTGACTCCTTGTGCCTTTTTTCTTTGAGGGTACTTGAAAGATCAAGTATTTGCAGAAAACCCGCATTCTAAGGAAGAGCTTCGGCGCTCTATTGAAGAGAAAATTGCAGCACTTCCTCGAGACTTATTTGGAATGGGTAAATCAGAATATGTTCCGGAGGTGCCAAGAATGCATTCAAGCACCACTAAAACATTGTAGGACATCACTTTCCTCTAGAAGGTAAGCGGCGCAGCAATTGTTCTTGTATGTCAGCACAGAAGTCCAGTCCAAAGAGTATATGGTCCAGTCAGCGTTTCGCTGGGCGAATGAGCTGACTGCCCAGGCGACGCGGCCCGAATCTTCGGCGAACGATAAAATAAACACTCAGTTCAAATTCAAACGTGTTTCTTTGGCAATCCCCTATTTTTATCACCTCAATGTACAGTGGATATGCTATATTACAAGTTTTGTTATTACCATTACTCACTGGTCCTACAGTAGCGTTTGGGAGCACATAAAAAGTGTCACCGCGAGAACTTCCAGAGAGTAAAGCTACTAAGTTAGTGGCGCCCTCCTCATGTGGGCCGGTATGTAAATAAACTACTTGTGCCGCTCTTGTAAACAAATTACATATGTTGCTTTCGCTAGTGATTGCGAGTGAAAGTACGTAAGCTAAGTGAGTCAGATTTTATTTATTGTTATAAATTGTTACAGCATATATTTTTACGAGATTCAACATATAATTAAATTGTTGAAGTTTAAAATGGGAGACATCGCCGGCACCAGTTATGAATTAAATCATATGGAAAATATCATGGTATGGCGTATGGAAAATAATGTCTCTTGTGGCACGATAGTATTGTGATTACTGTTTCTGCATATTTCATCTTCAAAATTTGTATAAGAAATGTCGTCAGCGAGTGACGAGCGTAGCGATGAAACCAGTGAAGACAGAAGCGAGGAGTCTGCTGAACAAAACGAAAATGAGCCGAAATCCGGACAATGCAATTTTTTCGTTGCCCGCAAAAAGAGATTCTGCAAAATGACAGTTCGTAAAGGTGAAAAATTTTGTGGCGAACACAGAAATCCCGATGTATTCAAGGTAAGCATAATTTCTATCTTTGATCATGAGTTTGTGTGATTTTAGATATGGGTATTTGATTGCATCTCATAATATTTCAGGAAAATGATCTTGTTATTCGTGTGCCATGCCCCCTTGACAATAAACAGTAAGTAACCAATCATATTTCTTTAATACAATTAAGCTATGACTGAATAATGATTTTTTTAATGTACTCTGATGTTTTTGAAGTCGGTGTACTAGTTGAGCTCTTTTATATAAATACTGGCATTTGTTTGTTACATCATTCTGTACTTAGTTTATGGAATAATGCTTGTTTCTATGAAATAGAATAATTAATTGGTGTTAGTTCTCTAAGGCTTTCTGGGCAATCTAATTATTTTTAACTTGGTCCAAGAATTTTGTCCTGGTCCTCTGTAGGTTGCATGTTACAAGAAAGTACCGCATTACGGAGCTGCTTTAACGCATTGAGTGAGGAGATGAGGCTGCTGCCAGCTTCAGTTGAGTCCCCTCTGAGTAGCCATGAGCCTGCTGGCAGACTTTGCTTTCATAAAAATTCTAGCAGTTCTTTTTTATGATACTGATTAACTGTGGTGGCAGCAGCTCATATCCTCTATGGGTGAAACATATAACACATCTGAAGCATGGTCTGCAGTTTGCTGCGTGTTTACTTGCCAATATTGTGTGTTTTCTTCAAATTACTTACATGTGCAGTGCACCTTAAATGGGTTGCACTCACTGTGTGAAATTCCAAGTCTTTTGTCATTTTCATTGAAAATTTGAATGATAGTAATCTTGATATTCAGTGATATATGTGCTCAATGTGTAAAGGATGTGTTGTCCAAAACTGTAAAAATGAGATTTTGTCATTGGTGTATGTAAAAGAAAATTTCAATTTACTTGTGGATAAAAAGAGCTAAGTCCCAGGCCACTTATACACTGAATTATTCATTTTTGAATTTCTGATATGTGAGAAAAGTAAGATACATGTTGCAGTATAAAGAAGGCTGAACTTAGATTTGACTGGAAGTATATTGAACTGGAGGGCTGGTCAGCGGCTACACGACACGAGTTGACATTTTGTTGTGGTAGATTTAAAAAACAAAAAAGGATAATGATACTTATCTTTTTTTCACAAAATTTCAATTTTGGGCATAACACCCTTCTCACAGCAAACATAGATATTATAATAGAATCTCAAGATAACACTTAAGTCTCTGTGTTTCTTGAAAAAAATGTAAAATGTAGATAATAAGTTGTTATAAAATTAATGTCATAATTTTAATGCAAATTCATGTATCATTTTGTTACATCGTACACAGGTTTAATGGCTTTTATTTTAAAATGGCATTTGAATTTCCCCCCGTTTCTTTGATGTGTAAATATTTTTTTTCTTCTTCTCTTATTTTGTTTTTCTTGTGTAAAGATTTTGTTGTTTGCAGTTTGTAAGTGTTCAAACTTGTTATTCCTGATAGTGACAAAATATGATCAGCTACTTGTCTAAGTGTTTGTTTATCTCTTATATTACTTGAGGACAGCCTGTTCTTTTTTTTTTCTCTGACCATCTGTTTGTAATGAATGGTATTTCCTCATTTTATTTATTCTGATTATTTTAAATATTTTTAGTAGACATTTAGTAATTTTTTTGGAGACTATTTCTTAACTCATTATTTCCCTGAAGTTAGAGGTAACTTTATTTTATGCTTTTTCAGATTGATTGGACGGAATGTCTGCACATAATTTTCTTACATTCATTTGACTAGCCTTTTTTTTGTGTTATTGAAATGGTATTTTTTTGCACTAGTGTTTTCACTAACCACTCGTCTTCCTCTTTGAATTTTGAAACATTTTTTTTTTTTACCAATGACAATGTTGACATATGGTTTTAAGTTTGATGATAAAAGAGTCATTTTTTTTATAGTTATTGTCTGATCCTTTTCAATCTAGGTTGCTTATTTACGCAATGTTAAAGTTGATGGTTCAAACAATATTTTATGACTACTAATGCTTTCAACAATGTTTTACTCTTATTTAAATGTTGCAATATGTACTATTTCAGCTGAAATATAAGTAGTGCTACTGAGGTTTTTGAGGCACTTCGATTGGACACTGTTTAAGACCCATTTGGTGCACACAACAGACAGTTATTGTTGGTTTAAACTTTCAATAATATTTTTGTTGAAATTTACTAAAGCTTTCACCGGTATAGGTAATAATCCCCAGAGGATCTCTTTTGAACTAGTGTGTTTCTTACTAATTCATTGCGTAAATAAAATAATACCTTTTGCTGCCACTACTGTTATTAAAAAGTTTTAATTGAAATCATAAACATATAAAGCGTGTTATTTGTTTTTCCATAGCACTTGTTATGCTCATTTACTAAAGAAACATATGAAGAAATGCAATGCAAGATGTCTGAATCAACCAGATTATGTAATGAAAAATATTAATCGTGGTATGAACCCTTGTGAAACTTCTGTGAAGGTAACTTTATCATCAGTTGAAAATGATGTGATTACTCAACTAATAAAGAAGATAAAATTGGCAGGTATGTTTCAAAAAATGTATTTGATATTCCATTTTGTGTTCGGACAATTTGTTTTACCCACTTCCATAGTGAGAAAATATAATTGTGCAGATTGATATACTAACCCACATTGCCATCATAAAGATATTTGCTAAAGTCTTGTGTGCACACATGTTGTTAATTGTTGTGTGTTGTAATTGAGGATCAGATTTTTATGGCCCAAATATGCATAAAAACATAAAATGTGCAAAAATATGCACAAGAATGAGTGAAATTATGTAAAACCATTACCTAACACACCTAAATACCTACTAAAATACCTGTTATGTATTGTATTTGTGACTTCTGGTCACCAGCTATCTGCTTACCACAATCTCTCTGTTGCTTGTAAATATTTCACATTAAATTCAGCAATCCAATGTCATAGTTTGGAACTATGCACTGAAATTCTTTTGGGCATTTCTCTCATAAATTCGTTTTGTGTTGGCGAACCAAACAGATTACAACTGAGTGCAAGCTCACGGCAAAATGAGAAAAAGATGCAATAGAGGGTAGAAGATAAGTAGTGACTTATTCTACAAAATTTATGTCCGAAGAATATGATTTGAGCAGGTTCTTTATTCAGTTAAGCAGGAAACAGGGCTGCGATTAACGGCATCATCCATTTATATTATCGTTATTTAATTCTTCTAATCGTTCCTTTACAATACAAGCAATAGTATTCAAGGGAATAAAAGGAAAATAAATAAATTCAAGAGAAGTCCTAATGTGAATAACTTAATATTTACTAATAAGATTTTCACCTGAAACAAACCAAACGAGGGAAATAATAAATTTTCCTCGAAATTTGCAATTTTATGCATTATTGTTTGTAGAATTTGCAACAATCTACCACAATCCTGATATATGCAGTTTTATGCCATATAGCTCAAATATGTTAAAATAAAACTTTCAAATGAGCATTTAGGAACTCCCGACAAAATGAGAACTTCTATCACTAAGCAGAAAAAATATGGAATTGCAAAAAATCCAGACTCTAATTGTAATAATCACTGTGGCTGAAAAGTTATATTATAGAAAGAAAATGTATTCATAACTTCAACAATAAAAAGATTTAATGGTTAAACACCAGAATTTTGAGGCATATTTTCATGTCACTTCAAATAGTAAATAATCCCCTGCTGATGCAATACATCCATAAATTGTTTTCTAAATAAAGATGACCATAAAGTTCCATACGATCAAAGGATAATATTCTTCAGTGATCAGGAATATCCACAAATGATATTCAGTAAGGGTCCATAAGGTAAAATATTATTTAGCGATAAGCAATGCCCACAAACCATATTCAGTATGACTGTCTTAATTAGGAAGGTGTTGACAAAATAAATCTATTTGTACCCAGAGACTAAAGGAAATAATGCACAAATATATTTAAATTTATGCACTTTGTTATCTGACTTTTTTTTCTTCTTTGAAAAATATTGTGTCTATATTAGATTGAATTGATTGCAAGATACCTACCTTAGGCCAGTAATAACTTGCAAGTTCTTCTTAAATATCCATTTCTATTTGGTACAATCATTCACAATCCCAAAAGGTTAATTTGCTACTAGTTATACAATTTTATCGTTTTCCATGACACAGCACATTATTGATGTTATTCCAGGAAAATACAAAATAGCTTTCTTTTTTTTTTTTGAAACACTAGACTATTTTCAAAATATGTTGTGTTTGTTTGTTTTTCTGAAATGAAAATTTTAATCAATTCACAAATTCGTTTCTTCTTTGTGGAATTATAAGTATTAATATAATTTTTTAAATTATTGTTACATTATTAGAAATTTTTGGGTAAAATTCTACAAAATTTCCATATTAAAATTCTCTTTTTCTTTTATTTAGAATACTAATGTTTTATTAACAAAACTTGTACTAACTGGATTGTTTTGGTTATAGTTGTTCCAGCTGTTAAAACGGACATATGCAACCATCCTGTACTTTCAGAGGAGTTAAGCAATGATCAATATGGTGCTTCAACTCGTAAACACTTATTGCAAAATTCATCCTTATTAGGTCATCTATCAAATTTGGGTGTCTTGAATCCAGAGACATGTTTTATTGAATTTGGTGCTGGGAGAGGTATTTAAATATTGTTTGAAAAAAATATATAAATACTGGTGCATTGGTAGAAAGCTGCAGTTGTTTCTCCTGTTTTTAGGTCAATTAAGCTATTGGATTGGTGAAGCAATGTCACAACAGGGGATGCCTTGTCTTCTGGTACCTGTGGATCGTGCTAACAATAGGCACAAGTTTGATAGCAGACATCGGAATGAAGATGCAGTCAAGATACTTCGCTTGCGTGTAGATATTGCTGATTTGTGTCTTGCAAGAGTACCTGAAATAAAAGATAGTGGATCAATAGTTGCTATATGTAAACATTTGTGTGGAGATGCTACTGGTAAGTCTTTGATCTTATTTGTTGTGAGTAGTATTTGTGTATGGGCTTCTTTAAATTTGAATACAATGGGGTCAAATTATGAATCAGTAAGTAGCAATGAGGTGGTAGTTTATCATTTTAACTCCTTTCTGAAATAATTTCGCTACCATAAGTTTCAATTATTTTCAATGTTCAGGGTAAGGGGTTTGATGGAAAATGGAGAATGGAGAAATCCTGGAAAACAGGGAAATTGGTGTCCAGAAATTGTTCAAGGAAATGACTTGCTATGATTTAATCATATATATTTGACAAGAGACAGAAGGATAAAATAAAGTTGATGTTTTGTGGCAACCTGTAGTCAGAGAAATTGATAGTACTTTGAAAATTCAATATGTAATTATTAGCAAAACAAAGATCTTTGTCAGCCTCTGTAAGATCAGTATAATCTTGACTCCTTATAATTCTTGACTAACAAATGGAACTTGGTGGAAAATATTGATTGAAAAAATGTAGAATGGATATTGATTTAATAAAGAGTATATTTGTAAGCATGCATGCATATACAACAAATACCCAGTTGTGGAAAGGTGTCATAGTTACAAACAACTCGTATTTACATACTTTAATTACATAAATTAGTTTTAAGGTGGGGTGATGCTTTGCTGTTTCGAAATTTTCCTCTATGTACCGCATTCAGGCGACTGTTATCATAAAACCTCCTCGAGTCTGTCCAGTACATATCTTCCATTGCATTTTCATAGTAACTCGGAGATTGTGGCTTTTGAGATTTATATAAAATTTTGTGTATGTAGAAAACTGGCTAAGAAGGGAACACGTTTTTGTTTCTATCACCATTCTGAACATATGTTACATAAATTGTCACAATTTCTGCTAAGTATAATATTATTATTTACTTTTAATTCATTCCTTTTTATTAATGTATTCAGGCCCTCGTTATACTTAGTAACTTGCAACCTGTAATTCAGTGCTTAAATATTACAAGAGGTCGAGTAAATTAATACAATTTATGCTAACTTCATCCAATTGATCATCATTATTGGGCGCACCTGAATCCCCATACACTTGGCAAACTTATGCAGACTTACAATTGTTGAATTGGTGACATTTCAACAAATGAAGTACTAATGTCATGTAGATTCCCAATAAGTAAACTTCAGCCCCAAAATCTTAACGTTTTTGAAAGATTACTTTTTGATGTCTGGAAGACGAGCATTTATAAGTTGCAATGCAGTTGTTATAATTTTATGTAACTGTTAAAAACAATACCAGAAATTCAAAGTGATGTAGCATCACTAGTTTAATGCACCACATTTTATTTCCCTTATAGATTCTAATTTATTTTTTAATGAAAACAATGAAGAAAAATGATAGGAAATTCTGAAACTGCCTGAACTATTTTTAAAATTTTGATAACTTTTTTTATTTCTGGAGAGAAAAGAAGAAAAAAAACACATTCATTTTTATTTAAATTTTATTATATAATGATTGGAAGCTAAGTGAATTAGATAATATGTACCATCTTTCAAAGTACCAACATATCCCTTAGATTTGCATTATTAAATATTTTATTTAAAAATTATGAAATACTTTTAAAAAATAAGGAGAAAAAAAATTGAAAACTGGGAAAAGTGAGGAAAATGTGTTGCAGGGAGAGTGGTTGTTCTATAACATTAAATAGATGAATTCTATTTCTTCCTCCATTTTCATTGGTCTCCTTTAGTCTTCTTTATAGACTCAAAAGTAGTGTGCTATCACATGTTTTTTTTTTGAATAATTTCTGATGAGAGAATTTCTGACAAATTTGTTTGTTTGTAACAGATCTTGCACTACGATGTTTGGCATCTTCAAATTTAAGCAACATATCAGGGATAATAATGGCGCCATGTTGTCATCATCGTATTGATTGGAATACTTACGTAGGTCAAGAGTTTCTTCAGGTATTTTAGCATTATTCCAGGATTTTAACGTAATTCTGTGGTAATGGTAAAATTTCATTTTTATTTCTGTATGTTTTCTTCTATTTAGGATCATAACTTCAGTGTAGAGGACTTCCAGTTGATGTCCAGTCTGGCCAGCTGGGCTACATGTGGTCAATCAAACTTCAACAGAGGAAAAGAGTGTAAACCAACAGACAGGTAATGAAGTTATTTCAGAAAACATACATAGAACATTTGTTTATGGAAGCATAATTGGGAGTTTTGTGTCATCAAGATGGTGAATGGGTGCGATAGTATAAATATTGTTTTTGTTTTGAATATTAAAATTCTCATTTTTTTAAATAAATTAACTTGTCATTGTCAAGTATTCAGGGTAATATATTATTATTGAAAAGAAATAATTAGAATATTTCAAAATTATTTTGTTACCGTCATCAGCACATAGAAACTTTGAATTAATTGTTACAAAAAACTTCAATGAAGAATGACATTGCTTTTATGAGATAATTTTTTAATATGCTGTACTAGATAGAGTATGAATTTCTATGGAGTTTGACTTAAAGGCACAAACTTTGTAGGGGAAGTTTACATTTTGAATCTTCACTTCTTTTGAGGTTTTATGTTCAGATTTTTTTTTTTTTATCGTTCTGCAGTTTTTGCTTTTTCCCATTTTATTCTTAGCATTCTTGTTGCTAAATATCAATCCTCATGTCTTCATAATTTTTTTGGGATGATAAGTGCAGAAATTTTTTACTGCACTTTAGCATGTTAAAATTAATACTCATTTGCAATTTTGAATACTCCAAAAGAGTGGCCTTGTTTTTCAATATTGATTTATGGCAGTTTCAAAATGTAATCTGTTTCTGAAAGATTTTCGTGTGAAGCTATGCAACAGTCATTTTTGCACATATAATATTTCATATTTTATTGGTAGAATTTATGACTTCACCTTCCTTAATGAAATTTGAGATTGGTTGATACCAATATTTTGAATATTTTAGTTCATGAATTAAAATAATGCATCAACAGCTAACGATGTACAGTTTGTACACATACTTTCATCCATTTGTTTAGTTTTTCATGTGCTTCTGATTCTTGAGTGGAACTTTTCAGAACAGGAGACTCGTATAGTAGTTAATTAGTAATTACATTTGTTTAATTCATAAAAGTACATACCTGCTTTCACCAACAATCTTGCTCCTGACTTCTCGGATCTTGACATTCTGCTCATTCAAATTTCTCTCTTCAAAAGGTGCCACACTCTCTTGGAATTGTCTGATTTAATCTCAACTATACAGATATGCCACATAAGAACGTGGAGGGTTAGATCGTCTGGGAACACTGTTAAGTTTCTCAATGAGTTCTCTTCAAAGATATATCATATTTGGGATTTTGGCCAAGTTTTGCCCTTTCTTGTTTTAATATATGGTGCCCTGTGGGAGATTCCTGGAGGGCGGTACCTTATCTTCCAGCAGGAGAAGGCAACCTCTACCCGTCGGGGAACACCATATACTGAGAGGCTTGGCCGATCGGGATAAAGATAATGGTTTTTGCCTAGATTTATTTTATTCGTTTTTAATTAATCACATTGAAACCAAAAACTCATTAATCAGAAACCATAATTTAGATTGAAGAATTTTGTTCAAATGTTCTTTTAATTTTGAATGTTTTACATTTCATTGTTTTAAGGACTAAATAGCTAAAAACAGAAATCGCAATGACAGTCTTAAGATAACTAAATAAAGGCAATGGCATTGTGACAGAAGTGACTACATTTAAGGAGAATTACTGGGATGTTTAATCACTTGTGACTACGAGCAGAAGAATTACTCCGTGTTAAATGCCAAATAAGGGTCTGGAACATTGTTATGAGAGTAAAATAATTTATAAAAAAATTACATTCATGAAACAAATTTTCAAAGTAGTTGTTGCATTCGGAAAAACAGAATACTCACTCACTTTCTCAAAATCAAACATTTTCGACAGAAAACTAATTGCCCCAAACTAATTCAAATGACCACGAGAGTCAACATGATTTTTTGGTAGTATAATGAAAAGGCAGCCTGTGAATCTGTGCTTTTAGCACTTGTAATACGTGTTCACAACAGCTCGAGAGCATTCAAAAGGGCGAGCCATTTCTTTGTGTCTGTCAAATGAGGATAGTTTGGCCACATTTTTCATTTTGATGCTGCCACTATAGGGACATGTGGATCTGTTCTACGTATACTATGTTGCATGCAAGTGTGGTGTTACCCCTCTCAGAGTAAAAACTCTGATTGAGGTGGTCATAACGTAATGGCTCATTGGTGTGATAGAATCAATTTGTTGTTGTCTGCATTCTAAGAGGGACAAAAAATCATTTTGTGTAGAACTTGAACCTATTTTAATTATGATTATATTGAATTAATTTGTTGCAGACTTGCTGGTTTGAACGTTAGTCCTCAAGAATGTGAAGACATTGGTCGCAGATGCAAGCTTCTGTTTGATTGTGGTCGTTTGCGATACTTGGAAAAGTTTGGATATAAATGCAAAATGGTGTACTACACTGATAAAAATGTTTCTCCAGAAAATGTATGTTTGATTGCATCAAGCAATCCATTGGATATTGATTTTCTGAACTTGTTCTAATTTGAGGGCCAAAAACTAGAATGTTTGCATCCAACAATTCATTTCATTATGTGTTTAAACTGATTTTACTCATCAGTGGGAAAAATAATCATAGTCCTAATTTAGCAGTTCTGTTCTTGAATTTTGAGACAGTTTCTTTCTAATGAATTTGCAAATATATTTTATTGCATTTAGTGACACATGTTTATCATAATTTTTTAAATTAATTGACAAATCTGATGTAATGAGATATATTTAGCAGTGAAATTAATTTTGATTTAATTATGTTGACTATGCAATTGTTAAATATTAATTTTTATTAGTTTATTTTTATGCTCAATTGCATTTACCAGTATGTTAAAAAGTGACTGTGATAAATTTATTTCCAATTTTGGGTAACAAAATTGAATTTTATTTTTTACACATTTGATAGCATTTAATGACAAGGACGCACTTATGATAGTTTTTCAATTGTTTTCATGGAAAATTTATAGGACATCTGAAAATGAATTCAGACATTGATTTTATTATGAGTTAACCACAGATATGTATATTGCCGCAAAATAACTTCAATTTTTTTGGAGTAAAAAAATTAATAGGTAGCTACACCACGGGTAGAAAATTCAGACGGTATAAGGTAATCAGAAAGATCCCCTACTCTGTTTCTGTCTCCGCATCTCCCCATCTGTTACTGTGTTTTTGGCCTTCTGTCCCATTGCTTTCGAGCACTGACTTGCGTCTTCGATGGGACTTCTCCTTTGGGTGGGACTTGCCCTTTTGATAAGACTCGCCCTATCGATGGGACTTGCCCTTCAATGGGACTTGTCCTTTTGATGAGGACTTCTCCTTCTGATGGGATCGCAGCTGAGTGAGGACCATTGCAGCTTCTGACATCGAGCTCTCAGATAGCGGACGATTGCTCTTATACAACAAAAACGGAGTGAACGGTCGATGTGAGAGTGAATAGTAGGAAGACTTCGTTGAAGATAATCTTATACCGCCAGAATTTTCTATTGGTACTAAAGCAATATGTTGGATGTACGTTTGCTGAACTTTTTTATTTTGGACCAAAAAGTATAGTACTTTTGTGTTGCATTTGCAATTGTTTAATTACAATCAGAAGCTGGTTTGGTACAGCTTCATGAACTTTGTTTCTTGTATTTGATCAATATGGTGTGCATCTTAAGGAGATTTTGGAAGTTCTTTTGTTTTTTATTAAGTGACATTTTTTTTCATTGAAAGCATTGATTGTAGATTTTTGGATCTAATTTAATGTTTATTGAGTATAGATTTTTGGAATTTGATTTAAGTATTGTTGGTATAAATTGAAAAGTATAATTCAGAGGCGAGGCGTTTGGTCATCAATAGATGATTCAATCACCTAACAAAATAAAAAAATGCAATTTAAATATTTTAGAGAAGAAATGGATATTGGTAAAAAACCAGATATTTTAGACATTTTTGTATGCAGATAAAACAGTAGAGAAAATTCAACCCAAGTGATTATTTGGATACAGTGCTCATCACGTCCTGCGGAACATCACAAAATCCATCAGTCAATCCAAATCCAACACCCTTTCATTAGTATGTTGAGTGCTGAAAAAGCAGTAACTTGTCAATTACCAATTTACTATGGACCCTTTTTGAATTTGCTGCGTGGAATATGGATGAGTTCTTGCAAAACATGCGATAAACATAATAAATTGTAATAATGCAAAATATATCTTTAAATAATTACTATTCAGTTTTATTGAACGAATTTCAGTTCTGCTTGCACTTCGTTTTCAATGCCCATGAAGCCATTTCAATTTTAACACTGCCCTTAGGAGACCAGGAGATTTATCTGGAAATAACACCACCCCGCAATATTCCGATCTTCTGACCACCCATCCCTTTAGGAAGATAGACCCAGGTACTTGATTAATCTGGCGATGACCTCGCAAAAATTCCACGCCTCGCCACTGGTTTAGTTGTATCCAACACTTTGTTGGATGGTTTTGAATTTGAATTAGAGAGGAGGATGGACTATACTACAACTGTGATGGACACAGAGTTTTACTGATTACATTTTATGAAGTTGATAATTGTTTGACAGAACATTTACTGTGATTACTTATTAGTCATTAAGACTACTTATTCAATTGTTCCTGTGGAATTTTATTTTAAGTGTTTAAATAAAGTTTAAAATTTCTATATTGGTGTTTTCTTATGCTTAATTCAAACATTAGTAAATATATTTATCTGTCATTTAAAATTGTTTTACCCTTGAAAATATACAGGTACTTCAATATATTAAATTATTATTTTATGTTTTAGAACCCAGTTCTGGAAGAAAGGATTAATTGAAGGGTATATTTTCTTTTTCTTAGGAACAGTACATTCATCTCGTGCTACATTTTAAAATTATGTACATTTTCTGTATACACATACATCAATGATATTATGATACAAATATTGTAAAAAATCAGATGTACATCAGTGATATTTTTTATATTTTAATTTTTTAACTTCATTTATTCATTCAATGTGCAAATGCACTAATACGCATGAATATTACAGTACCGTGAGTAATAATGTTATTATTACTTATATTATTATTATTATTATTATTATTATTATTATTATTATTATTATTATTGGGTTTAATCCCCAGGTTGGCCATCCTGACCTTTTTTTGTGGGTTCCCTTGGTCATGAGATGAATTCTGGGATGGTTCCAAAATCCCACAAACACCTCCCACCATCATCCTAGTCCTTTCACCCCTCAACCTCACCCTATCCCTTCAATCCTAATAAGTGTCTCTCTGTATGTGTGTTTACATCATCATTATTCACCACAGGACTTACAACCTTGGGGTTTAAAAATGGAATCAACATTAAATGCTGATCCCCTCAATAGAAAAGTAACGTGCACCTACCCCGATAATCATGACTGAGCCCCGGTGGGATGCACATATTGCATGGCCCCTTGATGGCAGATTCCAGGGGCGAAACAAATTGAATAATAATAATATTAATAATGACTATGATAAATCAATCTTGTTAATCTCAAAATGTAATTATCTGCAAAATTAGAATTACCATTAGTTTAATTTTGTAAAATATTTTGCCACAAATTATTATTGTTTACACGTACTTCAAGTAAATTGCATAACTCATTTAATATCTCTAGTTAATGTTTAAAACATCAATTTAATGAGTTTTATCTCTAGAAGATTTCGGAGATTGTAGAATTGTTAACCAAGATATTGTACTGTAATTGTGAGCACTGAGTTAATGTTCTTTTAGAAACCCACACAAGTTATCCCACATCAATTTGCACAAAAATCACTAAAAGTTATTTTAAAATTATTATTTTCTTATTTTTTCTATTTATTTTATGGGTCAAATAAGTTAATTTGTGCATTTTTATTTTCAGCTAACTATTACTTTAGGAAATACTGCATGTTGAAATTTACTAACTAGTGGTGCTACAGAATGGCATAGACTTTCCCGTATTTGTTTTCTATTTCCGTTGGTCTCGGCTAGCTATTCAGACTTACAGCTGCCACATACTTTTATTACACTACACACATTATTGTAGAATCAAATTATTACTTTAAAAATATTAAAGAACAGTAAAACCTTGTCACAAATGGCAATTTTCATTGAAAAATTTGGAGCCGTTTTTAAGAAAATTGCTTTTAAGCGTTACTGTAAATTTGAAATTTGAAGCTCTTTTCACAGAAAACTTTTGAGTTTTTGAAAAACTTAATATGATGTCATTTCAAACATTTTCAATCACAAATGCAATAGTGTTTACAATTTGCTTGAGTCTTTCAAAGAATTACATTTGTGTAATTTTTGAAAAAACAAATAAATATAGCAAAATGCATTCTATGTCTTAAACAGTGCCATTAGCACTATCTATTGGAAAAGTTTAAAGAAAAAATTTGGAGCCGTTTTTAGAGAAAATGATTTGAGCTAATTTTCACGGAAAACTGTTGTTTTCGAGAAACGTAATCTCCCGTTATTTAAAACACATGTACTCAAATACATTAATGTAAATATTACCGACGTGAGATCCAAGTAAAAAAAAAAAATGAAATTTTTGAAAAAACAAAAGAATAGAGCAATATGGCCTTCATCTTATAGAGTGTATTTAGTACAATCCTTACCAACAATTTAATGAAAACAATTGGGGACGTTTATGAGAAAATCTTGTTTTTGTATTGTAAATTCACAAATTGTTCGTAATATTGCGTGAAAATTCTATTTAAGAAAATGAACAAGACCTTAATGAAAGAACTCACTATGGATAACAAATTTTATTCGAAGGAAAAATCTCTCTCTTCGATTTTGTAGTTGTAAGAAGACATCCAAAAAAAAAAAAATGAAATTTCCGAAAATTTAGTTATTTGTGAAAGTCTGATGCCACCTTTGCCACCTTTATAGGTATATTATACTCTATTGTTGCAAGAAATTAAAAAAGAAATTGGAACCGTTTTTGAGAAAATTTTGAAAATGTCCGGAGGGCTTCATGTAAACTACCCCCAATTATTAAAGATTTTTTTTTCAAAATCTCAAAGATACAACTCGAGTGATATCGACACAGGTTTTTTCAATTCGGAAAAAATTCTAACCAATGTTTAGACGCTAGTAGTGTTTACAGACTCAGTCTGGCGGACGTTTTGAAAAAAAAAACACTTTCAGTATCAGGAGACCGTAAAACGTGTTTTTCCGTTGAAATCTCGAAATCGATTTTCTGCAGCATTACATAACTTTCCCTGTATTACGTATATTACTCTGTATATACCAATGTATACGGGAAAATAAAAATGATGTGCTCCCCTGACCAACGGCCACTGCTTTTGTGCGTCATCAAAATCCTTTTGGGAGAGGGAAGACGTGTTTAATTTCAAATGTAGTTGCTGATGTGTAATAATACTGTAATTGTATGTATAATAAGTGTAAGTATTATAATATTTCTGGCTGTGGTGTGATTGTTTATAGGCAATTTAAGAACCACAATTGTAGTGTTTTACAGAGGACTTTTCAACTGGGATGTGGTCAGAAAATGTATGGGTGTGGCAAATTTGTTGATGTTAATGCATTATAAAAATTGCACAAAATGTATTGGGCTGGGCCTCTCTAGATTCACCCCACTTGTACATTTGTTTGACAAAGTATTTTTATTTAAAAAATAGTAATAATTAAAACCAATTATTGAGAGAAAATCTCAGGTGTCCTTCCATTATTTTAGGTTGTACTCCAGGTTAAAACTTTTGTGAAGTTGAAAAGCCCCATTTCCGGGAAATGCGCGGCTTCTCCATTGCATTACCTGTTGTTGATTACCTGCTGCTATTGAGCCTGTAGCCTAATGTAAACATGTGATAAACTGCTTTGTCGGAGAATCCAGTAATGAAATGCAACCGTTACGGCTTTTATTAGAAAATGCATAACCCTGTATTGGAAGGCCATACGCCCCACAACATTTCCCGATCAGTTTTACCGCGCTGCCATGATAGTCGCGTCACAATAAAATCATGCGCATTACTTTGGTAATGGTTTCAATAACAATATTGATCAAAAGTTGAATTAGCCTCAGGTTGACACTGTCACACTTGGTGTGAAAAATTATCAGCAAATACAAAATATTCTGTTCATAAAGACGATTTCCAAAAGGATGGCAATAGCAGAATTATTCGACCATAAAAAGGGCCAGAAAGTTTTGTCTAAAATTATAAATAATTTTTTCTCTGCAGATCACGAGAACAATAAGTGATATTGTAATATTTACCGTGAAGTTTAATGTACTGGTTGTTTTAAGTAAATGCAACTTAACCCGACCACTATCTACTTTGCTAAATTTCGTAAGTACTTTCTGTGTCTATTTTGTAGACACCGTACCTTCGCAAACTCATGCCTAATAATATTTTTTTAATTTTTTGAATAAACATGATCCTCACAGTTACTAAATATTAAGGTAGGTATTTGCTGATCTTGCCTGGGTTCTGTTATATTTCCAATTTCGTCATGCATGTAAAAGAAATTCGTCGTGCCATGGATACTGCTCATTCTACACTTTTTACTATGCACAATCGAACTCGACCTTCTGACAACATTCACAAATATAAACTATAGTTTAGAAAGATCGACATATCCAGAGGCTGGAAGACATTGTTTACTACACACGACTGCACAGAAGTCAGCAACACTGCGAATTTTCCTGGCCGTTCACCCGTGACTACAAACGACATAGACACCACATCGACTCACAACAGAAAACAAATTCAATGTTTTAGACCAGGGATTCTCAACCTTTTTTCTTTCATCGACTCCTTTTAAGAGAATCATTTGCTTATTTACTTTATATATATATATATATATATATATATATATATATATATATATATATACACACATATACGTAAAATAAGGTTAAGAACTGTGTGTGATGTGCAATGGGGAGAAGTTAATGTCCAGAAGAAAGACAAGGGGCCATCTCAGTATGCCCAAGGATCAGAGAAACTGAACGAAAACGTGATCGAGATGGGGGTCAGTGACCCAGAAGCTGAAGTTCAATACTTTTTACATATTCTTTGTAATTATACAATCCGAATGGTAAATAATACACTAAATGTCGTTAAATTAATGTTACTTTTGGATGCTCGGTATAGTCCCTAACTGTATAGAAACATTTCTACATCAGAAAATATTTGACTTAAACTTTTGTATTGAATTTAATCGTTTACTGTCATCTGGCAAGGTGTAAAATAATGTACATGTGTGTGCATTTTTTGTAGTGAGCAGTTGATACTGTCACCTAATGAATATGATTACTACATGGAGTAGGTAGTTCAGAGTTTGCTGAAAATATAATCCCTTACGTAATTTTTGGCAAAAGTACTGATACATATATAAAGAGACAAGGTAATGGTAAAATAACTAGATTAATAAAGAGAGGCTTTCAAGAATCACGTGGTTGAGATTTGCTTATTATTTGTACAATTCTTTTTTTGTAATCTAAACGTCTGGGAGCTATAAGATGTATTTCCACAGAATATTATGCCATATCTCAGGCGGGAATGGACATTCGCGAAATATACACGAGAAGTGTGGAGGCTGACTGAATATGAAAGAATTCTGAAAGCGTAGCATAAAGAACTTAATTTAGTGGTCAATTCATTTAAATGGACGTTCCATTTAAGGTTTGACTGAAGGCCTAAACATTTTGTTACCTTAACATCAGTCAATGGCACACCG